CCGGCCCTGCCAGGAGCTGGGGGGAGCAGAGCTCAGCCCCCCATCCATAAAGCCCCCCGGATATCTCAGCCCTGACCCCCCCAGAGAGCAGCCAGAGCACCCCGGGTTCTTTCAGGGTGGGGGTCCCCCAAAGGAGGGAGCAGTTGGGGGGATACCCACAGGTCTGGGGTGCTGGGGAGGGGGGAATGTGTTCCCCTGGAGGAGTGGAAGCCCCTGGCTGCCATTATCCCCTCCTGCCCCATCCTCCACGTCTGAGTCCTCGGGAAGGGCCCGGAGCCGCCTGTGCTCCCCATCCCTGTCGCCATAGCAACAGCAGGCCGTGCTCATCCCGCATCCCGCATCCATTATCCTGCATCCCGCATCCATCCATCCCCCACCTCCCTCCTGGGGCGTCCTGCCTTCCACATCCCCAATCCTTCACCTTGCATCCCTCATCCTTCACCCTGCATTCCGCATTCTCACATCCCTGATTCTGCATCCCTCACCCTGCATCCCATATTCTGTATCCTGCACTCATCCTCCCACAGCCCTCACCTTCCATATTCCTGCATCCTTTGCCCTGCATTCCCAGTTCCCAAATCCCTCACCCTGCATCCCCCATATTCTGTATCCTGCACCCCTCATCTCACACCCCTCACCTTCCACATTCCTGCATCCCATATTCCGTATTCTGCACCCCTCACCCTGCATTCCACATTCCTGCATCCTTCACCCTGATTTCCCCTTCACCACATCCCTCACCCTGCATTCCCCATTCCCACATCCCTGATCCTGCATCCCTCGCCTTGCATTCCCCTTTCCCAAATCCCTCACCCTGCATCCAATATTCTGTATCCTGCACCCATCATACCTCACCCTGCATTCCCCATTCCTGAATCTCTGATCCTGCATTCCCCTTGCCCACATCCCTCATCCTGCATTTCCCCATCTCTGCATCCCTCACGCTGCATTCCCCATTCCCACATCCCTGCTCCTGCATCCTTCATCCTGCATTTCCCCATTTCTGCATCCCTCATCCTGCATTTCACATTCCTGCATCCTTCACCTTGTATCCCTCATCCCACACCCCTCACCCTGCATTCCCCATTCCCACATCCCTGATTCTGCATCCCTCATCCTTCATCCCTCATCCTACATTTCACATTTCTGCATTCCTCACCCTTCATTCCCCTTTCCCAAATCC